CATTCAAGGTCGGTGATGATGTGCTTATCGACGCCCGCCACTTACAGCTCGAAACGGACACGCTTCGCAAGTTTCGGCGTCGCTTCTTTGGCCCATGCTGCATTCTCCAGGCCGTCGGTTTTGATACGGCATCTAGCCCGGTCAGCTTTCGTGTGAAGCTGCCTGACTACCTACGCCAGGCTCGTGTGCATGATGTCTACCACGTCTCGTTACTGCGTCCTTACCGCAGACCATCTGAGCGTTTCGCTGGACGACCATACGAGCACCCTCCACCCATCATGGTGGACGGCCACGAGGAGTTCCTCGTTTCAGACATCATTGGTCGCCGAGTCACCGACGACAACCCTTCCCACATTGAGTATTTCGTACGTTGGAAGGGTTACCCTGATGAGGAGGCTACCTGGGAGCCCCTCGAGCACTTGGAGCACGCTCGCATGTTGGTGCGTGCCTATGACCGTGCTCGTCGTGCTCCTCCTCAGCCCACTGACCCTCCTCCTTCTCCTCCGGTTGAGGAGACCGCTGCAGTTGAGCCTGCTCCATCTGAGGCAGACCTTCAACAGCAGTCGGATGCTTCTGAGCGTCCACAGCGCACTCGTCGTCGTCCTGCTCGATACGACGATTGACTCTGACTTACCTTCCCACGTCTTTGACCTCTCAGTACTCCATCCACATCAGTTTTGCTACTTCAGCTCGTCGACGCTGCGACTCTTCCTCGACGGCATTCCGGACTTCTCATCGTGGACGTCATCAGCGGCTTCATGGACACAATCACGATCATCTCTGCCTACTTCAGACGTCGCCACTCTCTTACCACTCTACCCTGTACAGTACCCTACTTGTGTCGCATGATGGTCTCCCTTTAGCCGGGTTCCTCTGAGTTGGGCTCTCCCTTGGTATACGCATAGGCATCGGGACCGTAGCGTTGCCCTGGCTTCCCATCTTACGGATCTAGCTCCGATTTCCCTCACTTTAGGAGTCATTTGCATRATTCCCTTACCCATCATCTTTCTACCCTTCGCCGGCCCTCACGCCCTAGTTAGGCAGCCCCGCATGCTTCATCTAGGTGCGTCCAGTATACCAGGCTCCCTTGTTCCCTTGCATGGTCGACCCTCCATAGCGGTCACCCCTTTAGTCGAGCATTACCCGCCCTGAAGGTCTCTCTGTTAGGGTCATTGGTTCTGTTCGCTCCCAGTTCCCTACCCTCATTGAGCCTGATGACATGTGTTTTCCC